ACCAGATTTACTATGGCAGAGCTTGTGAGAGCGGTTAGGAAGGCAAAGCCTACAGCTCCAGGGGGAGATCAGGTAAGCTATGTAATGCTGAAAAATTTGGGGGAGAAGGGGATGAACAGGTTGTTAGAATTGTATAATAAGGTATGGGAGGAGGGAAGGCTACTGAGTGTATGGAAGGAAGCAGAGGGAGTACCGATTAGGAAGCCAGGTAAGGACCCATGCTCTCCTTCTAGCTACAGGCCAATAGCTTTGACCTCGAACATATGTAAAATTAGGGAGAGAATGGTGACGGAGAGGTTGACATATGTGCTTGAAAAGAGAGGTATGCTGGCGAGATGCCAGAGTGGATTTAGAAAAGGTAGGAACACAATGGACGTAGTGGTGAGACTAGAAAGTGAGGTGAGGAAGGCGCAGGCGAACAAGGAATCTGTAGTGGTAGTGTTTTTTGACATAGAGAAGGCATATGACATGATGTGGAAGGAAGGATTACTGATTAAATTGCAGGGGATGGGGATTGGGGGCAGAGTTTTTAATTGGGTAAAGGACTTTTTGAATGATAGGAAGATTCAAGTTAGAATAGGGTCAGAGGTATCTAGTAAGTATGAAGTAAGGAACGGCACTCCCCAGGGGAGCATAGTTAGCCCACTATTGTTTCTTATTATGATAAATGATGTTTTTTCAGAGGTACCAGCAGATAAAGGAAGCTCACTGTTCACAGATGACAGAGCACTGTGGAAGAGAGGTAGGAACACCAAGCATATAGTCACTAAGGTGCAGACGGCGATTGATGGGGTGACAGAGTGGGGATTAGATTGGGGGTGTAGGTTCTCAGTAGAGAAGACTCAGACTACAATTTTTACGGGGAAGAGGGTGGGAGTAGATGTGTCATTGAGTATGTATGGTAGGCAGCTGGAGAGGGTTGAGGCATTTAAGTATTTGGGGGTGGTATTTGATAAGAGGTTAACCTGGGCAGATCATATCAAGCGGGTAGAGGGAAAGTGCAGAAAAGTGTTGAATGTGATGAGGTGTCCTGCAGGCAGAGAATGGGGGGCGAGCTGTGATGCATTAAAAACAGTATATGTAGCTATGATATGGTCAGTTATAGATTATGGGTGTATAGTAAATGGATCAGCAGCAAAGTCTCTTCTAGGAAAGTTAGATACATTCCAGGCAAGTGCATTAAGGATCTGTAGTGGGGCCTTCCGGACATCACCAGTGGCTGCGGTACAGGTGGAGTTGGGTGAGATGCCACTATGCCTGAGGCGCAAACATCTCATTGCAAACTACTGGATTAGTTTGAAGGGCAGCAGTGGTACCCACCCCACAAAAGGAGTGATAGAGGAGTGTTGGGTGGATGGAAAAGGTAAGAGGGAGCATTTTGGTAGGATGGGGAATAGAATAGCAGCAGAGCTTGGGGTGGGTGGGATGGAGGTAGGCCTAACAGTAGTGTATCCAGCAATGCCGCCATGGAGAATGGTATGGCCAACAGTGGATTGGAGTGTAATGGGAAAGAAAAGGAAAGAGGGAGGACAGGTAGGCTTGGTTAGCGCAGTTAATCAAATCCTGAGGGAAGAATACAGCGGCTTTGTTCAGGTATACACAGATGGGGCAAAACAACCTGAGACGGGGGTGACAGGATTAGGGGTAGTGGTGCCATCGAGGGGAATTGAGATCAATCGAAGGACATCAGACGGTCTAGCGGTAAACACAGTGGAGATGTTGGGGGTGTTGATTGCACTGAAATGGGTGGAAAAAGTTAGAGTAGAGAGGGTAGTTATATGCACGGATTCAGCGTCAGTATTAGCTAACATTAGATCATTCCATTCAAGCAGCCGTCAGGGTTTATCATACGAAATATTACAGTCAGTGACAAGAATCCGCCCGTTTCTCTCTCAGGCCAGCACGGAGGTGCTGATGCATGCTTTTATCTCGTGTCGTTTGGATTATTGTAATGCCCTGCTCTCTGGTCTCCCCAAAAAGAACATGCAAAACCTACAATTATTACAAAACTCAGCCGCACGAGTGCTGACGAGGACCAGAGGGCGGGAGCACATTACTCCTGTCTTAAAATCGCTGCATTGGCTCCCCGTATGTTTCAGGATCGATTTTATGGTTCTCCTCCTAATTTTTAAGTGTCTTAATGGTCTTGGGCCGTTTTATTTATCCAAGATACTTTTACCTTATCAACCCCCACGGACCCTGAGGTCCTCTGGAGCTGGTCTCTTAAAAATCCCACAAGTAAGAACTAAGACATACGGGGCGGCGGCATTCAGTTATTATGGCCCCCGATTGTGGAACAGCCTCCCAGAGAGCCTCAGGGCTGCAGAGAATGTTGATATTTTTAAAAAGAGGCTAAAGACTCATCTTTTTAATCAGGCTTTTAATTGACTAGTTTAACTCTTTTAATCCCTTTTATGCTCACTTTTATTGTTTTACTATTTAAAGGGGACCTGCCACCAAAATTTCATACCCATTTTTATCAATTTTTCATAATCCTTGATGTCCTCTGATCATGTTTGCAACATAATTTTAGCTGAAAAGTTATTTGATGGTTTGTTTTAGTATGCCTAAAAAACCTTACAGGAAAACCAACTGGTTTTGGCTCATTAACATTTATGGTAATGAGCTTTGCTCTGATTGGATCGCTGCTGTGAAGCCTGCTGTGCTCTGATTGGCTCAGCAGTGGAGGTTCGGATTTCGGTTTATCCACTGTTATTATGCTAATGCTAATAGCATATGCTAATGTGTGCTAAAGTAAGGTGCCCAGATGTCTGTAATGATATCCGGGGATATTCGGTGCGGCGGCGGTGGTGCAGGGGCTGCGTGATCACAGACAAAGTCTCGGTACTATTTAGTAGCAGCGCATGCCCCTTGTAATAACCCCGTAAGAACTGTTGTTCAGGACTGCTAACTAAATTCGGCTACTGTAATAACCGTTGTTCGAGCCCACACGCAACATTTTTGCTCTCATTAATGAAACGCTTAAATCGGGGACATTTTCGGGGACAGCTTTTGCCGGGGACAGATCATCCAATACGGGGACTGTCCCCGGAAATCGGGGACGTCTGGTCAACTTATGCTAAAGGCTAAAAACGGCAGGTATTAAACCATATATTTTAGACCCCGAGTCCGAAGAGGAGGTGGAATTTGAGGAAGAAGCCGGAGATCTCCAGCGGTGTTTTCTCATTCATTCTGCCCGGCTTTAAGTTCATTTTCCCGGCAGTGAACCGAAGGAAACACCGATCGTTTGGAAGAGACCCATAGCGGATACAGCGGTAGCTGGGTCTCGCTCTGGCTGTGACTGAGTACGAGAACGAGAGAGTGGGCACGGCTCACCGAGGACGCGCTCGTGAATAATAATGAGCAAGGTCGGCGCAACGTAACACCGACGGGCTTTTTCAATTGGCCTGGTTTACTCGTTCATTTATTTTAAACCTTTACAGAATGCAAACGACGTAACGGTTTGTTTTCACATGTACAACATAAGACGAACATAATATGGACCTTATATGACACAAAAAAAACCCAAAATTACATTTTTATGGCAGGTCCCCTTTAACACTTTTTATTACCGTTCATTTTATTCTTCAATCTATCAATTTTATTATTATTATTTTTAGTCTGGCGTGTTTTACAGTGCACAGAATCATTTTATCTTACATTATTTACTGGGTCTGTCTTAGCGATTACAGCTTTATTCCTTCAGTTTTAGTTTCTATACTTTTATGTCTTATTTTACTCTTTTCGTCCCTCAGTTTTTCCAGTGTTTCCTCCTGGGGGCTGCTTCACCGGGAGCGGGTTCTGGTCTGTTGGTGGGGGCGCCGTTCTGGGGACAGCTCTGGCCCGGGTGGAACCAGAGAGCTCTACACCTTGGTGCGGAGCCTCCTGTCTGCCCGGGCTGGTGGTCCCTGTGACGGCGCCCTCTGCAGCAATGGGCCGGGATGCCTCCCGGTCGACGTGGCCCCCAAAGGTAGCGTCTTCCTCACCTCAGATCTCAGTGCCCAGTCATGTCTCCTCACCATCAGCTGCTAACTGTGTAGATGCGTATGTATGTGAAGTTGTGTGTTTCGAAATGTATGTCTATGTTCACCGGTGTGTGTATGGGTATAATTGTGCGGGTGGGAGGTTTGGGGTTTTCTTGGGGTTTTTAATGTTTCATTTTCTTTTTATGCTTTGTAAGGCACTTTGTGTTACAACTTGTAGGGAAAGTGCCATATAAATGAAATAAAGTTGAAAGTTGAAAGAATAGTACAGCAGGGGGGCCAGATCAGATTTTTATGGGTTCCAGCACATATAGGGGTGGAAGGAAATGAGAAGGCAGACGTGATGGCTAAGGAGGCGTTAGGGAAGGAATCAGTGGAGCTGAATGTAAGGTTAAGTAAAGCGGAAGTTAAGAGTATGATATGGGAAAAGCTTATTCAAATGTGGCAGAAGAAATGGGAGGGTGAGAAGAGAGGAAGGCACCTGTATAAGATTCAAGAGAGTGTTAAAGTTAGGAGGCTGGGTAGTGGACAGAGAAAGGAAGGGTCAGCATTGATAAGGTTGAGGTTAGGTCATTGTGCATTAAACAAAACACTGAAAATGATAGGGAAACACCAGACTGGGTTATGTGAGGGATGTCAGGTGGAGGAGTCAGTGGAGCATGTTCTAATGGGTTGTAGGAGATATTAGATAGAAAGGGGAGAGATGAGAAATAAGTTGAGGGAATTGGGTATGCAGGACCTTACACTAAAGGGAGTATTACAGATGGGGGACAGGGCACATGTGAGAGTGTTAGTCAAGTTTTTAAGGGTGACGGGGTTGATTGATAGGATTTAGTCTGTAGGAGTATGAATGTGTGAGTGTATGAGATGGGTATGGGTGGTGCACAGGGTTTTGTATAAGAATTGTCAGAAGAGGGCGGTAATGCACCGTACACAAGAGTGCCAACTGCCGTTAAACTAGAAGAAGAAGAAGACGTGGACGCATGCGCATCACGTCAATGTCCAGGGCCGGGTATCATGGCGACGTACGTGGACATCCTGAAGAGCGAGTTTCCTGAGATTGACGCGGAGCTTTTCGACTACATCACAGGTAAGAGGCCGGGTACAGAGCCCCTGTGAGCTGGGGTCAAAGCTGGCGGGGACAAAGCCGTGGTGTGCCGGGCCGGTAGAGCGGAATGAAACGGACTTTCCTGTGTCTGTTAGCTGGGTAGTCCTAGCCTCGGAGTTAACATGCTAAGCCGGGCTGGGCTGACGAGGTTCGGGGCGAACACCGGTTAGTACGGCATGGTCCCGTCAGAGAAGCGGGGCTAGACCTGATACCGGATCAGTTTGACGGTTTCAGTTCAGTTTGACCGGATAAAACCCTGAAAAGTGGAAGACAGTCACCGGGAGACAATTTTACATAGTAAAGTACTGCATATAAAACTAGCATACTGTCATATCATGTTATGTGCTGTGGAAAGTATTTTTCAGAGTAAAGTACTGCATAATAAATTGACATACCGTTGTACTACAGTAGGTAGCCTGCTGTGGAAGGTTTTATTTTCAGAGTAAAATACTGCTTTGTAAACTAACGTACGGTAAGTCCTGTGGAGAGTTTTTTTCAGAGTACTGTACGGCAATTTAGACTAATATACTGTAGTACCACAGTAGGTTCTGCGGAGAGTAATTTTCAAAGTAAAGAACTGCAGTGTAAACTTGATAACAGATACTGAATCACTCACCTGTGTGAAACTCCTTAAAAATCATTGAGAGGTACCTACAGAGGTAGTGTCAGGCAGAGGGCCTCTGCCAGTAAAATAGTACTGATACTGTTACAGTAGTACTCGAGTACATTAGTTGGTGTATTTCGTTCTACTGTAGCAGTTAAATACCTAAGTGGAGTAAAAACTGGGTATCAAAAACTCAAACCTCGAGCTACAATGAATGACTGTTAACTTCAGTGGCCTGATCATGAGATCAAAACACCAGAGAAAAACGGAAAAGTACAGTTCCCTTCATCGTCTGCCTTTTCTGTTTTGAACGAGTTGTTCATATCAGGCTAAACGTTGATGTTGCACCATGGTACTGCTGAACCAGACATTTTTAAACTGGGGTATCTGCAGGGGTGGAAGTAAGTGTTCACACAGAAATGAGGTTAATTTATGAACTCTCTCTATCTGGATGAATCAGACCTGCCTGAACTTATAAGATCTATGTGCCCAAACAAGGTCTTATTCTTGTTTTCAATGTTTTCATTCAAAATGAATCAATGATTAATTTATTATTGATGTTATTTATGTACCGAAGAATGCCGTCAGTTTTAGGTACCTTGATACCCTAGATAGTAAACTATTAAAGTTAACAAAACCCTTTTCTTCTTTTGTGGTGAAGCTGCTGGTGTGTGTGTTTTGTTCCAGGGGTTCTGGACAGCGGTGGAGCAGATTTTGAGGATGGGGAGGAGGTTTATGATGCCATTGGAGGAGTCCTGCAGGAAGTTTCTGCTGACAGTAAAAATGAGGAGGACATACGAGACATCTGCCTCCAGATGTTCAACACTCTGCAGCTGTAAGAAAGTCCTCTGTTACCCAGGCACTTAGGATTCAACCTTTTATTTAGAAACTTACCAAGAAGCCTTCAAATATCTAAGCTGATCTGCAGGAGCTGCTTAGTAACACTACAGGCAACATCTGTTTCCGTCATTCCAGAAGAGTTAGGAAACATTTAAAGATTTCTTGCAGAGCAGACTGAACCACAGTCCCAGACTGTTTCTAAAGTTATAAAACAAGGATCAATGTGAGTTCAGTATGTGGTAAAGCTAGAAAGAATCTGAATTTAGGAAGATTAACACCTTTATGATGTTTTAACAGGAATAATCATCATGGCTCCCAAAAGCAGGTGTTGTTGGACGCTCCAGTGCAGCTCTCTCAGATCTCAGCAGACAACGGTAGGAGTCACACACACACACACACACACACACACACACACACACACACACACACACACACACACACACACACACACACACACACGAGTAACCATGAGTTTTATTTCTGTCTAGACACACTGAATTTAAACCTGATTGATTTTCTGTCTTTGCAGTCACTGCAGCGGAGGATGTGAAGGGGATCTGGATGATGAAACGTCCTCAGAACACTGTGAGTGTCTTTTACAGTTAGTTTTAAAAATAGTGTCAGTACAGAGGCAGCAAGGGTTTATTTACCACTGGATTTATGATGGAATCAAAAACAGCTGTTAGTGAACATAAACATACTTAACAGAAAGGCTGAAATCACATGTGTCAGAAAGGGATCTGAATAATTTCTCACACTGGCTTAAATTTTCACATGGTTTTGGTATTGTCACAATGTAACATGTAACATAGTAAAACAGTGCAAAAACTAGGAATATTAATAATCATTAAAATTGTCTGTTGAGACACTGTGGGGCGGCAGTAGATCAGAAGGTAGATTTTCATCCAATAATTAGAAGGTTGGCGGTACGATCCCCGCCCTATCCCTAGTCTATCTGTTGTGTCCTTGGGCAAGATAACCCCCCTTTCTCCCAGTGTGTGTCATCCAATGTTGTATGATTGTGAGTGATGTGTGGTCATGGTGGTCAGAGAGGCCATAGGCGCAGATTAGCAGCCATGTTTCTGTCAGTCTGCCCCAGGGCAGCTGTGACTACCAGGGCAGTTAACCACCAGTGTGACTGCGTGAGCCAATGGATGATGTATCCAAATGTAAAGCACTTTGAGGTCACTGATAAAAAGCCCTATAAAATCTGATGCATTATTATTATTAAATTCTTTGATGTTTGAGAGAATCTGTCTGTAAATATTTGGATCAGCTGATACACTCAGACTCATTCAGTCTCTTTGAAACCAAACTTACACACGTCAGTACACATGAATAAACAACAAAGAACAGATGTAATACGAACTTTTAAAAGAGACACAAACATGTTAAGTCCAAACCCACTGATTGGTTGAACATGTGACCTTCCGATTGCATCACTTCCTGTGTTTGTGTTTTTAGACGGTGGACGCCAAAAAACTGGAGAAAGCTGAGGCGAAGCTGAAAGCCAAACATGAGCGCAGGAATGAGAAGGACTCTCAAAAATGCTCCAGCCCTCTGTTAGTACTCACCTGGACATACCTGTACACACCTGTAACCACCTCAACATGCTCCTACTTACCTTTTATTACCTATGAACTCCTGTGCACATAGAAAAAAAACACATTCTGTTATTCACCTTTGTACACCTCACCTGTTTATTCTTAAACACACATTTACACATACCTTTTCTTATCTCACTATACCTTTTCACACCTGTAGAAACCTTTACATACAGTACCTGTCCTCATCCACATACAAATGTGTTCCTGTGTCTTATCTGCATACACCTGTACTCCCATGTCCTTTCCTGTTCTTTTCTGTACACACCAGATGCGTTTTATCTTAGGCACCTCACCTTTTCATAATGATTCTGGTAGGGCTACATGATTAATTGATTTTAAATTGTAATCAGATTTTTTGATTGTGACAATGTTAAAAAATTTAAATCGTCAAATTGATTTCCTGTGTATCATGTCTTGCGCCTCCAGGCCACCATAGGCTCCCCCTTCCTGCTGGAGCGCTGCCCAGTTCCCACACACACCAGTGTAAACAAACTTGGCATTTGCAAAAGAAGATGATAATTTCGTGGCTAAATCAAATGTCCCAGAAACACAGTTCCCCAGCCTGACAAACTGTGGCCTTCCTGTCAGGTAATCTGTGATCCAGGAAACACAGGAAGGATCCACTCCCATCTCTGTGAGCTTGTTTTTGAGTATGGTGGGTTGGATGGTGTTTAATGCACTTGAAAAGTCGAAGAACATGATCCTCACATAAACCCCAGGTTCCTCCAGATGAGACAGGGCACGGTGAAGCATGTAGTGGACAGCATCATCCACTCCAATGTGTTCTTTGTATGCAAACTGCAGGGAATCTGGTTTGTCTTTGACCTTAGACCTCGGAAGGCGTAGAATCAGCCGCTCAGGGGTTTTCATGGTGTTAAGTGAGGGCCACTGGTCTGTAGTCATTGAGTTCAGCAGGACATTTTGTTTTTGGTATTGGCACAATGCAGGATGTTTTCCACAGAGTAGGTACCCGTCCCAGCTGTAGACTCAGGTTGAAGATCTTGTGGAGAGGTTGACACAGTTCTGCAGCACAGTTTCTAAGCAGCCTCTTCAACTCTTGTTGCACTTGTTTGAGTCGTTCTTCGTCACCATCTTTAAAAGTTTTCTTTTTCTGGTTAAGGATTTCTTTTATGTTACTTGCGATCCGGGGTTTGTTGTTGGGGAAACAGTGAACAGTCTTTGTGGGTATAACTGTGTCTCTACAGAAGTTTAACTCAACAGAAGTTCTGCTGTCTTTGTCAAAAATAGCACTTGTCAGTGTAAATGGAACACATTCACCAATTAAGATGGCAACCCCCCTGGCCTTAGAGTTGAAACTAGAATGGAATACTTGAGCAACCCAGGGACATTTCAGTCTGACTTGGTCTTTGTTCCTTATGTGGGTCTCCTGCAAAAAAACCATGTCAGGCTTTAAGCACTTTAAATGGGAGAACACCCTGCACTGCTTGACAGCACCCCCTAAAACCCATTAATATTCCAACTGATTAACCTTACAATTGAGCTCATAACATTAGCCATGTAAAGTATGAATTAAGATAGAGGCAAACAGGTTCCCAACCCCACCTTCCAGGGACAAAAATATATGTAAATAAATGAATGAAAGAAGAATAAAAGAAAAGACAAAAAAGAACAGACTAACCTAACAAACTCTCCCCTAATCCCACAACCTTCCCCATTGCACCTACCATTACCCCATCCCCAAACAACAGGATACCAGTGCTAACTCCACAAGGAGTCATAAACCAAAAGACTAAACTCAAGGCTATGGACTAACATTCATCTTCACTTTACTCCAATGTAGCTGGAGCTCCTGCAAACATTAACAAAATAAACATATATGGCTGAAGATAGGGCCAACATATTAAACAACACAAAACTCAAAAGTAACTATGAAACTTGTGCAAACATAAGCATGAAGATGCCTATTAGAACAGTAGGGGTTATGGTGCCTTTTATATCAAAATCAACAAAATATATCTACAGTGGTGAAATAATATTTATAGCAGTTTTGTAGATGAAGTTCAGGTCTGAGTGCCTCTGTAGCTATGTTACGCTCTAAAGCGCCTTTGTTGAAATGGCTTAACAACATTATTTCAACACAGGCGCTTTAGAGTGTAACATAGCTACAGAGGCACTCAGACCTGAACTTCAGCAACTTTGCAATGACAAACCCAAGTCTATTTGAGTGTTTTCACAAAACTGCACCTTCATCAGGTTATGTAAACTCCCTTGTCACATCTCCTCTTGTGATCCAGGGACAAGGTGGATGTAGCAGCCCAAACCTTATGTCCCTGAGCTGGCATCAGACGTCATTGAAGGCTGCACTGGCTTTTGCCGTCCATGCAGTGAGATCTGGAAAAACGGGCTCCTTTTCCAAGCCAAAAGCATCTTAAACCAGGGTGGAAACTGTGGCCGTGCTGACTGGATCATGCTCCCCGGATAGGCCTACTATCCTAACATTGTTGCTGCAAGACTTCGCCTCTAAGTCCTCACATCTATAGTCAAGAGTGACAAATTGGGCTGAAAGTTTGTCCACTTTACTTTTGAGTGACACAACGTTGTCAGTGTATGTCGACAGCGACCATCCATATCATTCACAGTCCCCCTAAGCACATCTACCTCTGACTTGATAGTGGCCATGTTAGCATTTAGCTTCAATTTAACATTCTGCAGCTCAAGCTTGATTAAAGTCTTGTTCTTTTGTCATTGCCGTCTTTAATTCAGTCTTAAAAATGCCTACCAACTCCTCACGAAGAGCAGCGAGCAGTTCAGCCTTAATATCTGCAGTAGTCATGTCTGGGATGTAGGTAGTTTTCTGAGAAGGCATTTTATCATGTCTTGCTCCATTGGGCACTAAGCCAGAAGTCCCTACCTGCCATTTTGAACATGCATATTTCCTCTCTATCCTGTCATCTCCTGTTATCTCCTGTGTCTCACCTGACTGACACCTGCCCCCCCCCCCCAATTCATCTCTTACCTGTGGTCCTCTTTTGTCTCAGGGTCCTGGAGGAGGCGTCAGCCAGTCAGGCCTGCAGCAAGAAGGACAACCGAGTAGACCAATCAGGGAAGAACCGCAGCTATGATATCCGCATTGAGAACTTTGATGTGTCCTTTGGCGAGAGGTGGGCGGAGTTTATCCACCATATTGATGCGTCTTATTCAGTTCAAACAGAATATGATCAGTAGACACAAGGAACCTCATTTGAGGACAGTTTTGAGTTTCAGTTTTGTTTGTTGTTTTAACTTGCATTATTTAATATTTTCCTTTTCCAGGTGTTTGCTGCAGGGGGCGGAGCTATCGCTTGCCTCTGGCAGACGGTACGGGCTGATTGGTCGGAATGGTTTGGGGAAAACAACGCTGTTAAAGATGTTGGCCAGTCGAAACCTCCGCGTGCCTGCTCACATTTCCATCCTCCACGTGGAGCAGGAGGTGGCGGGAGACGAGACGTCGGCGCTACAGAGTGTCCTGGAGAGCGACACAGTGAGGGAGGAGCTTCTAAGCGAAGAGAAGAGGCTCAATGCTTGCATCACTCGAGGAATGTAAGACTCAGGTTTAGTCAGACAGTTTGCCAGGCAGCAGTTTATGAGCTGGTTTTAAGTTTTCATATGAAACAAAAGAATGATGGTCCAAACTGTTAAAATGTTCAGTCACTGCATGAACGTTTGGAGCATGTTTTTTTTCTGGAGTGTATCAGGCTGTGTTCTCAGACTTGAAAAGGGAGGGACTATATGTGTACATCCACAGCTCTTGGCTTTGTGAATAATTAGGGCCGAGCCGACACTGTAAGCAGTGGCAAGAGCACTATTGAAACGTCAGGCTTGATGGCTCAATTATTTATTATTATCATTAACTTAAAAAGTTTTTCAACTTAAAAACCCTCGAGACAGGCTAAAAACCTCATGAAATTTGGCAGGCGGGTCAAGGATGCGTACCAGGCCCCTACATGGACTCCCTAGCACACCCTACAGATTATCATGCTCTGGGAGTTTCTCATAGGACTTGTGGTCCACTGATTCCAGCTTCACTAGATTATAATTGGGTGATAAATGTCCACCACAGGAAATTTGACACCAATAGCATTCTTTGATATTGCTACAGATATGAACAGCCACATGAAATTAGGTACACAGGTCAGGAGGGGTGTCCTCTTGAGGGCTCTAATGTCAAAATGGAGATCCAACTAAAAATGGCTACACAGTGCCCCCTACAAAATAAAAAAAAAATTAAGGCCCGTCCCTGTGTGTGACCCACAGCTATGGAATCAGGGATGCTTATGAAGGACCCCAAGCAGTGGCGGTTCTAGACCAAATTACTCCCCGGGCGACAAAAAAAGAGATAGAATTTTGAACAGATAGTTTTGTATTACTATGTAGTATTATTATTATAACAACAAAAATAATATATTTCTCAATTGCAGAAATCCTTCAATAGAAAAAAACACAATCCCGAGGGCCATTTTGAGAAGGGCCCCCAGATCCTGAGGTTTTCTAAAGTGTTGAGGTTTACAAAAAAGCTGCTATCTCGGCCTCTGTAGTAGATAGAAACAAAATTCAAAAAGTATTTGAGAGCTTATACATGTGGCTTTCAAGAAAGCTCTCTTTTAGTTTTGCGAACCTTCATCACATTTTGAAAACCTTGAACAAACAAACTCAAATGAAATAAAGCGGCTGTATAAATAAAAGTAAAGGCTCTGCACTGGAGAATGACAAATAATTTGCTTTCTGTAAAACAAGTGGCAGTCATGATAAAGTGTCCATTCAATACAAATGTAAATATAGAAAATAAGGTGTTGAAAGGGTATACAGCTGCCCCAGTATAGTGCCAGTACAAAAGCAGAACTAAAAACTAAAAAATGAATAAATAAATACGAGGCTGACAGTGTGTTCATCTCTGTTCTCACCCAAAGTCATGCAATACTCAGAGAAAACGCTGATAGTGTGAGCCAGAGCACTCCATATGAAGAGGTTGTTCACACTGCTGGATGTTTCTCCTCTGAAGCTGCTCTCTGCCTCCGTCATTGTTTACTTTACTCACTTACTCAAGCTCATCAAGCACGTAGCAGGATCCGAGCATGAACCCGAGCGCTTTATTCGCCTATTAAAGGCAGACGGGTACGGTGATTTCATTCACAGCGACTCCAGAAATGATTAAAAAACTACAAAATGACGTATCCGCGCTCCCGCTGATATGCTGACATGCGTACACAGAGCAGAGCTGTCCCCCCGCGACTCTCTCCCCGCCTCGTCTCCTACAGTCTGTCAGCCTCTGTGCAGCACCTTCGGAGCAAGCAGGGGCGCCTACAGCAGCGGGGGGGCGCCAATTTGACAACAAGAGTTAATACAAAACCGCTTTGCGGTTAAGATTTATTATTATTATCTTTTATTTTATTTTTTTGGAAGTGCTCGTGCCGCCCCCCGTGAGTCATGACACAAATGCCGCCCCGGGCGGCTGCCCTGTTCACCCGTGCCTAGAACCGCTACTGACCCCAAGACTAACTAAAAGCCTCCGGCCAGACCCATGGGCTATACCCAACAGGAAGTTGTCCATATTGGTTTGAAAATTTGCATTTTGAGATTTTCATTCACTTTTAAAGCTCTTTTCAAAAAGTATCTTCTCCCAGGGATTTATTAATAGAGAGTTGAAACTGCAGCTACAGGTACTCACGATGGTCTACTTTGATGTACAACATTTGTGATTAGGCTTACTTTAGCAACAGTGCCCCCTCAAACACAAGTAGGGCCTTTTGCAAGTCCCTACAAATGGCCACCTCCAAAGCAAACCGATTTCCAGTTTTTATGTTATTTCTCTTCCAGTATGTAGCAAAGACCTTGAGGAAAACCATATCAGAAAATCACAAATCTAAGTCAAAGTGTGTGGCCATGTTGCCCTTTTCACATTGATGTTTTTACACTTTAAATGAGCCACAACACTCAAAGGCAGCCACAAGTACCAACCAACATAAAGGTTCAGGCTGTTGTGGAGAGCACTGCACTAGGGATTGCGGGTGATGCGACAGTGTGGCGGTGCGACACTGCTCAGTCCTGTCAGTGCCCTGCGGGATGCTAGTTGAATGTTCTCACTTTAGATCAGTTCCCTGTAAAGAGTTAATATGTAAGCTTGACTCACTTTAGAGCTGCGAGTCCTGGCTGTCTCCAGCCCTATGGCTTTAGACCACAGGTACACTGTGTCACGGTTGTTGATGAGGCAGAATGGACAGAAGGAGATGAACTCATATATGTGTGTCTGTCTTTCAGCACTGAGGGGATGGAGATTATCAGACTATCGGAGATCTACAGCAAGCTAGAGGAGATGGAAGCTGACAAAGCTCCTGCACGGTAACTAAGGCAACCACACAGCCTCATTGATAAAACCTATAGCTGTACTACTTTGTGGCAGTATTTACCAGGCTTTCCTTAAAGCTGCTTTAAAAAATTTATAAAAGGATCTCATAAAACAAAGATGATCATAAGCTTCAGAGTTAGGCTGGAGATCAACTGCAGTTCCAATGAGCATCAGCAAGGGACAAGAGAGTCCACTTTAGACTGCTGACTCCCATTTTTGTTTTTTTTTAATCGATGTCTGTCTTATCTAATCAGAGCCTCTGTCATCCTGGCTGGCCTGGGATTCTCCCCCAGAATGCAACAGCAAGCTACGAAGTAAGCAAACACACAGACACACACAAACAATTGTTTTTGTCACTTTGGAGGATTGAGGTTCAGAGATTAGTAATTTACAGTCACTGAAACCTTCACAAAAAGACTGCATGAACATGCACACTGTTTAACATTCTAGGTTTTAAATTTAATTTTGTGAAGTCTTAAATCCTTACATCCATTTACCACATTCGCTTTTTTGTTGAATGCATTGGTGATATCCATAATTATAGGGCTTAACACTTTACCAGCCATAGGGCCGGTGCTATGTTTTGTATGCCCGGTGTGTTATTACCGTAACTCCGTCAAAGTTTGTCTGATCAGAAAAATGTAACGGTGCTGGAAGGCTGAGAGTTGTGGGCATGCACACATATGATTTACATGGTAGTCGTTACCATTTGAGGTAGGCAGTCATTACAAAACACAGAAAGTATCGGCAGAGCGCTACACAGTTTGTCGACACCGTAACTCTTTGAAAGTTTGCTCAATCCAAAAATTTTAACTGCTGACAGACAGCTAAGTATCTGTGCTTTCTGTTAATATATGATGTATGGTATATATTACAGTAATCTTGAACAGTATCGCCAAAACTGCAACTTTGACAGGGACGAGGGAGAAAAGGAGAGTAGAGTAATAGAGTGTTCAAGTACTCTGAGAAAAAGAGACCTTAGCTCTCAGACTTTGGGCATTTTCTGACCATTTTACAGCCATTATAACAAAATATATCTTAAAATCGCTATTTGTAGCCTTAGTAGCACTGGATTTCCGGCGTGGCGCCGGACAACTAATATGGTCACTCGTAACTAGGGGTGGAACGGTTCACAAAATCCACGGTTCGGTTCGTATCACGGTTTTGTGGTCACGGTTTTCGGTTCGGTTCGGTATACATTGACTGTTACAAAAATCAATTGCGTCTTGTATAGTAAACTGAAAGAATGAGGCAGTCTGACATTCAATACATCATTGTGACAGTCTTAGGTTAAAAGGTAGGTCAAATTCTGGAAGTGCAAGAGAGGAGACATAGTTCCAACATGCTTTACATTTATTTGGCAAAGGATATCTCTATCTATCTAAACAAAAAGTAAAATGGCTCTTATGGCTCTGACCCTTGAATTAGTGCATACAAAAGAATTTAACTTTACTATTTTACAAACAACATTATATACCATCAACATAAAGTGAAGCATAGGCTCTATCAGCACTAGACTTATGCCCTTTTAAAATCAACACAAAAACAACATGTTTCTCGTAACGTAACATGTTTCAGCTCCCTGATTATTGGTTGTTCATGAAAAGCTCAGTATTTTTCACTTGAAATTGAAGTGCAGTGAAATACAATCAAAGAAATCAGGCTGTAGTTTTGATCAAACTTTAAGTGTCACTGTGTTATCTAAACTCTACACAAAATGAAATAAATAATCCAAATTAAGAGGTCATCAATATAAAATGCAGCATAAACCAAACTTAACAGATCCTGCGCTCTCCTGTACTCTCTCACACAACTCTGCTCATTGTATCATCATGTTCTTCTGCAAGAAGATCAGTTTGTCCACATTCTCTGCCAAGAGACGAGATCTACTTGCAGTGACAATATCCCCTGCTGTAGAGAAAACTCTCCCACTTGGTACAGATGTACCTGGGACTGTGAGGTAACGTCTGGCCAACTTAGCAATGTGAGGATATTTATGCTCATTGCTCTTCCACCATGCAAGGGGATCTGCATCCACAGAGATGCAGCCTGTGACCCTGTATGACATGACCTCCTCCTCAATGATCTCGGACAATGGCTTTGTGGTTTCTCTCTCTGTTGGAAAGAGCTCTCCAAAAAGCTCTGCCATGGCAGATCTTTTCTTGGGAGGAGATGACTTCCCTGATGCCTCTGGCTCCCCAGCTGAGGATGAACTGTCCACCTGGGCTTCTCTGGGTTGACCCTGCTTGATAAAATGACAAATTGCATGCATAATAGTTTTAAAAATAATGCTAACAACAAACACTTTCATAGCAGCAAAGTGACAAAAATTCGTATTATTTTTTAAAAAACAACAGAGAAGTAGCAATGATAATAAAATACAATTTAGCAGTAATTATGATAATGAAAAAGTGTTGCTGGTTACCGTGAGCTTTATTCAGCGTCAAAAAAAAAAGGAACAACGTCGCAGTTAGCAGGTAGGAAAAAGCATCAGAGACATCAGACAACAGCGCCACCTTTTGGTGAAATTACTGTACTACAACACTCCCACTTAATTTTACCATGCTATTAAGAACTTTTAAATAATACAGCAGAACTGTCTCTTCTTCACAAAATGATAAAGTAAATGTTTACATAACATCAAGGACTTCCTCTCCCCTTTTTTTTAAATTTGTCATTTGTATTTGTACTCTTATCATTTGTCTTCAACAAATTTTACAGACTTATTCTGGAACTCTTTTTCACATGTTTTCAAACTTTTGTATACATAACCTTTACTGGAACTCTTTTTCACGTTTTTAAACTTTTATACATTGCTTTTACTGGAACTCTTTTTCACATGTTTTAAGCTTGCTTTGACTAGGCAGCGTTCGGCGTTCACCTGTCAAGCATAGACAACCACTCTTACATAGAAAAAAGTCTGATCGCCTCCCTCAATTTTTCAAATCTCTGTTTGGTCAAAGGCTTGGTCAAAATGTCTGCTTTCATGTCACCTGTTGGACAATACTGAAGTTCTATTTGTCCACCCTGCACACATTCACGGATGTAGTGGTAGCGAATGTCTATATGTTTGGTTCTTGAGTGGTCCACGGGATTCTTCGCGATTGCGATGGCTCCTTGGTTGTCCTCCAGGATCACTGTGGGCGTGGCCTCCACTCCAAGGTCACACAGTAAACGTCTCAGCCAGATACCCTCCTGAGCAGCTTGACTGAGTGCGACATACTCTGCTTCTGCTGTTGACAGTGCAACAGTTGCCTGTTTCTTGCTGAGCCAGCTCACAGCTCCACTACTTAGTAGAAACATGTTGCCTGTTGTTGAGCGACGGTCATCCTGGTCACCAGCCCAGTCAGCATCTGAGAATCCAGTCAAAGCTCCAGAATCCGACTGCTCATACTTGAGTCCAAGATTCACTGTCCCTTTTAAGTATCTGAAGATCCTCTTCACAGCAGTCAGATGCGCAGCATTGGGATTTGCGTTGAACTTGGACACAGCACTCACAGCTTGAGCTATGTCTGGTCGTGTGGCCATGGCTGCATACAGTAGACTTCCAACCATTGACTGATAGTTTTGTTGGTGTACTGGTTTGCTGACACTGTCACTTTTCTTCAGTTTGACGTTAGCATCAGCAGGAGTTGCAACAGAATTTGCCTTATCCATTCCATATTTTTGAAGTATGGCTTCAATGTAATGTTTCTGATGAAGGAAGACACAGTTTTTCTCTTTGTCTTGAATCACAGAAACGCCCAGGATGTAAGACAACTCACCCAAGTCTTTCATCTTGTATCTCTCTTTGAGAGCTGTTTTCAGCTCGTCCATACTCTCAGTCGACTCTGTTATTAGAATGTTCCATCCAAGTTCCATCATGAACCCTGTAAACGCCTTGCTCCAGCAACGAGGAGACTGCTTCAGTCCATAGATTGATTTTTTCAGATTGCACAGTAAGTGTTCCTGCCCAGGTCTGATGTAGCCCTCTGGTTGCTCCATGTAGATATCTTCTTTCAGGTGTCCATTGAGGAATGCAGTTACAACATCCATCTGGTGCACATGAAGATTATTTTGCACAGCAAAGGACAGTAATGTGCGAACAGAGCTGAACCGTACCACAGGTGAAAATGTCTCATCATAGTCAGCACCGTACATTTGTGAGTAGCCCTTTGCGACAAGTCTGCACTTGTATCTCTCTACTCGTCCATCACTGTGATGCTTGACTTTAAACACCCATCTTGATCCTACTGCTTTCCTTTCTTTTGGTAAATCCACTAAGTCCCATGTCTCATTTTCCTGCAGCGACTCATATTCCAAATCAGCTGCCTCTTGCCATTCTTTTGCATTTTGACTCAGCATTGCTTCTTTCATTGTGAGTGGCTCTGTCACACAACACATATTAGCATGATGATCAACAACAACTGTATCTGCAAACTCATCATATCCATATCTCCTTGGAGCATTTCTGACTCTCCCACTTGTTCTGGCAGTATCACTAGCAGTGACCTCACCTTGTGCTTCACTCTCATCCGTTTCCATGTTTATCTCAGTCTCTGAGCAGGGGATTTCTGCATCCTGATTCCAGTCAAAGTTTCACTCGTTGAAGACAACATCACGACGAATCAGAATCCTCTTTTTCTCTTCATCATACAGGCGATATCCCTTAGAGTTGTTTGCATATCCCACAAAACGAAGCTTTACTGCCTTTTTGTCCAGTTTTCGCCTCTCTTCATCTGGAATATGTGCATAAGCAACACATCCAAACACCCTCATGTGACTCATGTCAGGTTTCTTTTCATACCATCTCTCATAGGGTGTCTCTTGTTTCAGTACTGATGTAGGTAGCCTGTTCTGTATGTAAGCTGCAGTAGCTACAGCTTCTGCCCAGTACATCTTTGGCAGTTTTGCATGTGAAAGCATACTTCTAGCTGCTTCAACCAGCATCCTGTTCTTTCTCTCCGCGACACCATTTTGTTGTGGTGAGTGAGGTACAGTCACTTCATGTTGAATGCCTTGAGCTTTCAAATATTCTTGAAACTCCTTTGATGTGTACTCACCACCGTTGTCGGTTCGCAACCTTTTTACAGTCTGTCCACATTCATTTGAGAATGTTTTTTCGAACTCCTTGAATTTGGCTAGCACCTCATTCTTCTGTTTCAAAAAGTACACCTTGCAGCATCTGGAGTAATCATCAATGAAAGTCACAAAATATTTTGCTCCACCAATAGATTCAGTCTGCATGGGACCGCAGACATCGCTGTGAATCAGCTGCATCCTGTGTTTGGAGCGGATTCCTCCAATCGACTTGTATGGCTTTTTAGACAGCTTGCCTTCCACACATCCTTCACAGAAGGGAACCTCTGTATCTGCAGAGAGGTCCACTCCGTTAACCAGATCTTTCAGTTCCTTCAGCTTAGTAGTGTGTCCCAGGCGCCGGTGCCATAGACTGGCTGCTACTGATACATTGTGACAGACAGGTGAACCTCCTTCAACATCCAGCTGATACAGTCCATCAGTTCTTTGCGTTCCCATTCCTTGAAGAGTTCCATTTTTTCCTCGAATGTAGCAGTGAGACCTCTTGAACTGCACTGTATTTCCTCTTTTGATAGCAGCTCCCACTGAGAAAAGATTCCCGGACAGCTTTGGAACGTACAGCACATCATGCATTTTGACATTTTTCACAGCACTTATTTTGAAAGTCATTTTCATGGTAACATTTCCAATTCCTAGTGCGTCAACCACCCTGCCATCACCCAGTTTCACAGACTGTGCTTTTGTGAATTCCTGATATTCTTGCAGAATTTCCTTATCACAGGTCATGTGTTTAGATGCTCCTGAATCAATCAACCATTGATCCTGCTGTGATCGGTCACTCAGATTTGCATCTTTGCTGACAAAAGCACATTCCTCTTCTGCATTGTCACACATCACACTTTTGGCTTTGTGGACTTTCTTTTTACCCTTTTGTTTGAAGTTTGGACAGTCACGTTTAATATGACCTTCTTTTCCACATTTATAACACCGCCACGTGTTGGGTCTTTCTGCTCCCCCTGACCTTGAACTGTCCTGCATATTGCCCCTTAGCTGGGATGACATGGCTGATGCACCGCCTGACGTAGCAACACTGTAGCTTCCGTTAAAATTCATCCGCTTTTGCTCTTCATTTATTAATGCTTGCTGAACAAACTGCAGTGTCAAATCGTCAATCTTTGTTTCTAATGCAGTGACAATGGTAGCATAACTTGGTGGCAAACTACCCAGAAGTGTTACAATTTGATCTTCTTCTTCAATTACAGCTCCTATGGCTGATAGATGATCGGTCAGTTCTTTCATTTGTTTCAAATGTTCAGTTAAACGATCTCCTTCCTTCATTTCACATCGGAAATACTCTTTCTTCAGGAAAAGTTTATTTGCTAATGTGTCTCTTTCAAAATGTTCCTTCAGCGTAGTCCACGCTTCTTTGGGAGTCTGGCAACTCGTGATCAAGTACAACTGGGGCGTACTCACGTTCAGCAGTAACATGGAGAATGCCTTCTCTTTCCGTTTTGTGAACTCGGCTTGCGCTTGAGCGTTGGCATCTGCGACTAACGTGTCCGTCTCCGTTAGCATCCCCCACAGTCCTTTAGCCTTTAGCAGGTGTTCCATCTGAAACTTCCATGTTGCCCAATTCTCTGGACCGCTCAGCTTGTCTATAAACAGCTTCTCTTCCATTGTGGAAACCCACAACACTGTTTACTTCCCACTCTTTAGCGTAGCTCTGGGCCCATAACCTGTTGCTGGTTACCGTGAGCTTTATTCAGCGTCAAAAAAAAAATAGGAACAACGTCGCAGTTAGCAGGTAGGAAAAAGCATCAGAGACATCAGACAACAGCGCCACCTTTTGGTGAAATTACTGTACTACAACAAAAAGAACGATACCTGCTCTTTTATTTCCATGATTTCCCTGGTGACATCACTGTAGATTTTCTGAACAGAAGCTTCTTCCAAGTAGGGCAGGGACTTAAATCTTGGATCCAGGGCTGTGGTTCTGTGCAGATAGTCCTGAAGCTCAGGGTTCCCATATCTGACTTCCAGGTCTTTGGTGGTGGCTGCCTTGGCATCTTTGATGGTGGCGCTGTCCTCCTCTTCATTTGGATTTTAGTATCATCTTCTGCAGAGGGATGATCATGGACACTGAGGGGGACGTTTCTGTGCTCATGAGGGTTGTCACATTCTTCAGAGGTTTGAGAATCTTGATTAGGTCCTCTGCAAGTTTTGCCTCACTGTCAGTCAAAACAGAAATGTCCTTAAGATGTTTCTTAACATCTTTGTCCATCAGGGCAGAGTAGATGGCAGCCTGCTGTTCCAAATAACGCTCCAGCATGTCATATGTTGTGTTCCAGCGGGTAGGGACATCGTGTATTAGTTTATGAACTGGCAATTCCAGCATCCCCTGTTTGGTTTTTAGGGCATGGGTGGCTGTTGTGCTGAGATGGAAAAATGTTAACACCTTCCTCATCTTCCCCAGGAGTCGTGATAGTTGAGTTATTGATACTGCATTCTTAGCTGCCAGATTGATTGTATGTGCAAAGCAGCCAATTTGTGGACCCAGTCCAGCTGTTGCATTGACTGCATTCACCATATTTTTGGCGTTGTCAGTAGTAACAGGAATTGTACTGCTGTCCCTTTGCAACTTCCATTCTGTCACCGCTTCTGTCAGTGCTTCAGAAAGATGCTCGCTTGTGTGGCTCTCATAAAGGGGGTATGTCTGTAAAACGGAGCTTTTCATCTCCCACTCTGAGGTAATGTAATGGACAGTCACAGTCAGGAAACTTTCAGTTGCCCTGGAGGTCCATCCATTGGTAGTAAGAGCAACATAGGCTGTGTCTAGGGTTGGGAATCGAGAATCGATGGGAATCGGGACTAAAACTTCGATTCTTCCGGTATCGTTCAAATATTAAAATTTCGATTCCAAGTTTCGATGCCAGAGTCCGCCGACCGGAAGAAATAGCCGCCGAAAATCAACGAAGAAGAAGCCGCTTAACACCAATGAGGACGGAGCGTATGAGACGAAGCCACACAGAGAGAGGGGAGAGACAGAGAGAGAAAGTACATTGCAACCCACAGCAATGCAGCCGCTGTGGGTTACAATCTCTCTCTGTCTCTCTCCTCTCTCTGTGTGGCTTCGTCTCATACGCTCATTGGTGTTAAGCGGCTTCTTCTTCGTTGGTCAAAAGTTTGGCTAACTTTAGCAGGAAGAATGAGCTCTTATCTCAATGCAACATTAGCAATTCAGTTATATCATGCAAAGGAGGGTAAACGACCAACGTGATTAAACACCTCAGGATTCATGGAGGAGAAATACCCGAGTGCTCGTCTTTGACGCGCTTCGCCGGTGTTGTGCCAGAGAATCTACCCCTGCTGTTGAATGCACCCCTGACGGGAGCGCGATTGAAAGTACACAACAAGGCGAAACAATCCAAGTTTTTCTTACCGTTGAACGGAATCTAAAGCGTGTGCCTTTAATGATTTCATTCAGGCTATTCAGATATGCCGAAAACAATAGCCCTCTGATTTGGAATATTTACTGTCCTGAAAATATAATGTTCTCTACATTAACAGCTTACTCTACAGTTTATATACCCAAGTACACCTTTATGTGTGCATTTTTGAGACACATACAAACAAAATGAAAGTTTACTGCTCCATTTGACACGTTTTCATGATCTAATACCCGTGTTTTTTTAAATATGAGATCATATTTCTTCCACTAAGAAGCTAATCAGTGTAGGGGAGGCATTCTACGGCAGGGGTGCATTCTACAGCACAACACCTGTCTTCCGCTAACCAGTCAGGATCAGATAAGTGAAACAATAAATGACTTCTGTACTCTGCTAACTTTGAAACGGTAAAGAAATTGAACTGTGTACGGTGAGTAAACTTAAATATCCAACTAACGTTAGCCCTTGTACTTTTTCATAGACAAACGACCTGAAAACAAAAATTGATATTTATATACTGGTTGAAAATAGCTCTGTGAGAAATCCATAGTAAAGTTCTTAAAAAGTTAATAGGATTTAAAAATTCATGGAGAAGTTCAGAAATTTCATCCAAAAAGAAGAGCCCCGGTTAGCACCCTCATTCAAACCATGCTTTTTTTTTCTTTTTTCTTTTTTCTTTTTGATATCCTGCCTTTTAAAAGAATCGAATTAGAGAATCGATAGGAATCGGAATCGGAATGAGGAATCGAAATCGTTCAAAATCAAACGATACCCAACCCTAGCTGTGTCAGACAGTTCTTTCTCAATTCCCCGTCGGATCTTTTCATAAAGTGCGGGAATTATCGTGCCGCTGAAGTGTTTGCGGGAGGGGATCTTATATCGTGGCTCTAGCGCCTTTATCATGCACTGAAATCTCGCACCCTCAACCGCGGCGTAAGGTTGCATATCTTTGGCGATGAAACACCCCAGTGCCTTTGTTATGCCCTTCGCCCTGTCCGACTCGTCATTGTACGGCTGTTTAAAAGCTGCGGGGAGAATAAGTTGTGCAGCCTTGCCCTTCCTTGCGCTGTCAACAGCCACACTGGGATGATGTCTCCGTAAATGAACTGACATGTTAGATGTGTTCCCGTTAGCATAAGCAATGCGTGTTGCACAGTACTTGCACACTGTCGCACTTTTATCCACAACTTTCTTACCGCCTTCGTAGTTCACCCTGAACGCAAAATGCTCCCATACACCAGACCTATATAACGCTGGTGGCGCATTCTCCAGCCCCGAGTCTTCTCCGCTCGCCATGTTTACAGCTCCTCTACAACTGATTTCCGGGACACACCCATAGTTGCGCATGTGTATGACCCGAACCGGATGCAAGCGCACCGAACCGGGACGGTCGAACCGAACGGTTCAGTTCGGTTTCTTAAACCGTTCCATCCCTACTCGTAACAGATAAAAAATAAAAAAAATAAAAATTCTATTAACTCCCATGCTCCTTCAGCTAAAATAAGATTCTCCTGCATTGGCACAAACGTTACTCTTAGATATAGCGTTGTTATTACAACTTTAATAAACGTTATACATTGTCTTATAGTTGTCCATATAGGACTGCATATAACAGATGGTGTCCGCTTGTCAGAGTTGAATAGTCACTGGCTATTTTACACATTCAGTTGTAGTAATCATAATTATTGAAGAGTTGTAGTCAGGGCAATAACCAAATATATCGAAAATAAATTTCCCTCAATATCAATATAAAACATAGTCGATATACTTTTTGATAGTTGGCATTCTGCCATGTTTTGGTAGACTAAGAATAAGAAGAACTTAAGTAAATTGGCTATTTTATACGAATTGCCAATGAAAAGGGAAATTGCTCCGGGTCTGCTTCGCGCTTAACCAATCATGTGATGAAATAGAACCAAGTAGCAAACAACTTCGTAGTAATATGCTGCAGCTACACGCAACCATAGCATTTTATCATGTGAATCCGGAAGCACCGTTAGTGAGAGAAAAAGAAAATGAGTGCTACCTCAGCAGAAATGCAGATGAAGGTTCAACAGATGATAACATCGCTGACAACACTGGCAAGAAAACGGTGGTGTGGAGGTATTTTGGCATTTTAAGGTTGAGTATGAAGCAGAGTAATGTGCACTGTTCTCGACATAATCTGCAGTGCACCTCAAATCTTTTTCACCACCTGAAGCAGTGCCACACGGCAGAGCACACGCAATGCACAATGATACAAACCCTGAGCGGAGTAAGGAGCCCATGGCGCCTGTGCAGCCGAAACAGCCGACCATTTAGTCCACTTCCTCTAGCGCAACGCCTTATGACAAAACGTTGAAGAGGCACAAAGACCTCACAGATGCAGTAACTTATTGCAGGGGTTCCCAGACTTTTCCATGCCAAGGCCCCCAAATAGCATTAGCTTCTGGCCGGGGACCCCCTATGCAAACCTACTAACAATATACGATATGCTATGCCATAGTATATCATATATTGTCAGTAGGTACGTCGTGAGTGATGTTTTGATTTGCAGGCAATTAAAAAGATGAGAATGACAAATTAAATTTCGCTATGTTGTATTGATAGAAATTATATTTTATAATAAGACTGAGAAATATATATATATTTTGATTTTCTTTTTCCTTTTTTTCTCATCTTCCCTCCAACTTTTTGCGGCCCCCCTAGCACCCTATGGCGGCCCCCATGGGGGTGCACCCCCAATTTGAAAAAGCAGTGGCTTATTGTATTGCAAGAGACATACTACCAACAGTGCTTAATTTGTCCTCCAGGAGGTGCTGGGTCCCCCTCCGGAGCGCGCGTGCGCCGTAAAAATATGCTTTTTTTCTTGTGTTTTTATTGTCTTTTTCACCTTAATTTCCGCACCTACCTAGTATAACATTTGCAGCAACATTTGGCACACCATGTGGCCCATCAGAACACTTGGAATCAATTTGGAATGAGCAATATAAATAACTGACATATTGCAAGCAAACATATTTTTATTGTTAACAGATTTCTTTGACACCAGTATAGCCAGTCTTACTCTTAGTGTGTCACTGTCACCTAAGCACCACATCAGAAAAATAAAATACAATAAATTAAACAAAAACCTGAGAATTTAAAATAAAGAAAAAATTAGACTAAAAGGTCTCTATTTGGAAGGAGGAAATTTAAAACATAAATGACCAAACATCACGAGAATGATGTGTTGTGCACACTGCACAGTAATAATGTATCCAACCAAACTTAACAGGCAGCAGATACAGTTTGATTAAATGTCCTGTCTATTTGCCAAGTTGTTGTGTGCTTTGTCCATGAATAACTTTATGCTTGTTGACCGATTGTCTTCTCTTGTAAACTGTAGTCACCACAAAGGCCTCCCAGCTCCCCTACTCCTGTCTCTCTGACTCACTGGCTCTCCTGTCCTCGCTCCATGTAGTTTCCCTTCAAATGGAGGGGAAATTGAATTAGGACTGAATGTTTTATTTTAAAAAGAAAGCCTAAACAGAGTGTCACTGTGACGTGTTGTCAATCACGCTGCAACTGTACATACACACTAGGCCTGGACGATATAGAAAAAAAGCATATCGATAAAAAATAAATCATATTGATCGATATCGATAATTATCGATATAATTATTATAATTATTTAACATGTATTTTAATTGCAGCCCTGGATGTTTTATGCTATGTCTTAATGACCTACTTTTAATAAAGAACACACAAGCACTGAATTCAAATTCAAACCTTTATTCAACCACCTTTTTTTTTTTCCACAACTGAAAGTTTTTTAAAAAAGAACTTAAAAAAAAAAAGAAATCAACTGAAGTGGCCTGAGTGATGTCAGTAAATACTGACAAACATAAAGACTTAAGTGACCAGAAAATCAGATAAATAAATATTCAAATAGTCTTTTGATGAAAATAAACAAAACAAATATATAAATAAACAGAATAGCTTTAGGTGGGAATAGCATACTACCAGTTTTAACTGTGTGGGAAACTGCCCACAGCCTGGTGTCTGAACACTGAAATATTTCTCCCGGGGTCGGGAGATTTATTTTTTTAATTATCATGTGATTGACTTAATACGCAAACTGAGCACGAGAAGCAGGACTTATCCACGCCGGTGTTGTGTCGTAGAATGCACCCCTGCCGAATGCACCCCCTGCTAGTAGCCATGATCCAAATACTCGCGTCTTTGTAAAATATGAGCTAATTTTCTTCCACTTTAAGAAGCTAATGAGTGGACGGGATGCAGGGGTGCATTCTACAGCACAACACCGGAACGTATTTCCTCCGCATCCTTCTCACCTTTTCAACCCCTGACCCATTTTCATGCCTGAAGCGCTGTGTTTGAGAAATACTTGCGGCCAGGCACTTCATATCGCGGGTCGAGAGTGGCTAGAAGCTGGTCGAAGCCAGGCATTTCAACGGTAGTTATTGGCAGTATGTCCCTCGCTATGGAGCATGTTACTGCATGGGTGATGTCCTTATGCCGCTCGGACGCTTTGTCGTATTTTTGGCAAGAAACGAAGTCCAGTTTGGTCTGCTTCACTTGCTTTGTGCTGGTGCTAGCCGCGGTTCCAGAGGATTCCTCCTCCGACGACGTGGAGCCGCGGCGCGGCCGACACAGCTCGTACTCCTGCGGGTGCGACCGGTATAGATGGTAAAACAAGTTGGTTGTGTTACCAGACTTGGTTTTTACTAATTCTCTGCAAATTTTGCAAACGACCGCTGTTTGCTTTTTGTCAGACTTCTTAAAACCAAAACATTGCCATGCTGGTGAACTACTGAAACCTTTTTTCGGGACAATGTCCTCCGCTTCTCCTTGCTGTAACATTTTTTCTAATACACGTGCTGTCTGTTGTGGTTTGAGAGGGGCTGGGCTTGGTGCTGTAGCGTACCTGGGTCTGCGTTTGTGATTGGTGGGAGGAAGTAATGACTGTAGTAAAAGCTACATGATAGGCTATGATGAAAAAGAAAGGGAAACTGTGTTTTTCTATCGAACTTTTTATCGACCCGTTTTTTTTCTATCGCACCACACGTCTATCGATCGATATATATTGTTATCGAATTATCGGCCAGCACTAATACACACACTCGCGTATTTGCGCGCGGTGCGGAAACAATACCATCTGCGGAAACCCTGTTTATGTGTGTTAACATCTGTGTGTGTGTGTGTGTGTGTGTGCGTGTGCGTGTGCGTGTGCGTGTGCGTGTGCGTGTGCGTGTGCGTGTGCGTGCGCGTGCGCGTGCGTGTGCAGGGAGTTTTCAGGAGGATGGAGGATGAGGTTGGCGTTAGCCAGAGCTCTGTTTGCTCGGTGAGTTTTACTTTCTTTGCATAAAGAACTTTATCTCCTGTAGTTCATCAGGGTAACCATGCAGATGCTGCAGAGACCCTCCTGAGTCAGGTCCTTCACTGATCTTTATTATCCTGTTTTTGTTTATCAGGCCAGACCTGCTGCTGCTGGACGGTGAGTCTGATCCTCTTTAGGACACAAAAACAGTTCTCTGTGAGGAAGGAAAGGGCGGAGAGGCCAGGGAACAGAGTGAGAACAGGAGTAACAGCAGGTGGAGGAGTAATGGGAGTAACAGCAAGAGGAGGAGTAAAGGAGTAACAGCAGGAGAAGGAATAAAAGGAGTAACAGCAGGAGGAGGCGTAATGGGAGTAACTGCAAGACGAGGAGTAAAAGAATGAGTATCTGGAGGAGTGGGTTGAGATTTGAAGTAAAGGGATTACATGAGTGGGCGGAGTTAAAGGTGTAATAAGGAGGTAGAATGGTGTAGAAGGAGGAGGACAGGGCAGAAGGAGCTGGAGTAAATGGAGGTATCAGCTACAAGAGTTTCCGTCAATTTGGTTGTAGAGAGAGTATCAGTAATAGTACTGCAGTCCTGGGACAGGAATCGTTAAATGAAGCGGAGTACTGGTTGTACACTGGTGAGCTATGGTAAACACAGTAGTTTGTAGTAATGGTACTGTAGTAGTGTTATACTAGGTAGTATCAATAGTGCATTAGTAGTGTTTTTGTTTATGTTCGTATTCTCTGCAATACACAGTGTCTAGGACTCATTATCGAATTTGACCATAGGGGTAAATAAAGTTCTTCATATCTTATTGTATTTTATGTCAAGGATTGGTCATGTAGAAGTATGTATAGAATTAGCAGTATTAGCGATAGTACTGTGAAGTATTTGTACTGTGTTTCAGAGCCCACCAACATGTTGGACGTGAGAGCCATCCTCTGGTTAGAAAACTACCTGCAGGTCTGAACTAGCTCTCACTGTTACATCAGCATTCCTCATTCAGAATTATGGGTAAGTTAGCCAGGAGCTAATCAGTACCAACACCTCCCTCCTCAGACGTGGCAATCCACCATCCTGGTTGTCTCCCACGACAGGAACTTCCTTAATGCCGTGGTCACTGACATTATCCACCTGCACTCTCAGAGGCTGGATAGTTACCGCGGTGACTACGAGAACTTTATAAAGACCAAAGAAGACCGACTGAAGAACCAGCAGAGAGAGTACGACGCCCAGCTGCAGTACAGGCAGCATATACAGGTACTACTACTACCTCAGTACTGCACATACAGGTACTACTACTGCGCTACGGGTGAGAAAAGATGTGTTTTTTTTCCCAGAATGCGTTGGTGTGGGTCTCAGCTATGTATTTTTGTCTCAGGTGTTCATTGACAGGTTTCGGTACAATGCTAACAGAGCTGCTCAGGTGCAGAGCAAACTCAAGCTGCTGGAGAGACTGTAAGTACTTTTTCACCTGCTATTGCATGTACTTGTCTGGATCTCCACATACTTAAATAACAGCACTTCAGAAGCTGGGTTTACATTGTTTACACTGGTTTTAATATTCCGATTAGAATTGAGTTAGAAGCCCAAACTGAATAAAAATACTCAATATAAACACCTCAATCAAAATAAACAAACCGAATTTCATTCAGTTTCACAGGGGTGGAATATTTCTTTTCCCAAATCGATCAAAAAGTTTTGTCATGTAAACAGTGAAATAGAAAGTTGTCAGGCTGCTTTCTGTCTGTGCATGCTTTGTCTTGATGTAAATGCACAGTGTCATTCCTCACTTGAAAATATTGTGGCTTCCAAACAGAGCACGCAGAACAAGTTTATGGCGGAGAGATTGTTTTAAGTACAAACTCTCAAATAACTAAACATTATCCCACACATCGACTGTAGAAATACAAGAAATATTCAACTATTTTAAAAAGTCCACAAAAAATTCAGCAAAGCCAGGATAGCAAACCACCAACAAAAAGACCCACTGATATATGTCTTCTCCTCTTCAATGCTTCCAGTAAGAGCACGCTGATATCGAGCTGTTGCCTGGATAAAATGTAAAAGCATCCCAATTTCTGTGCTTAATGGACAATAGATCTCCATCTGTGAAAAACCACATGATGTTTACATAGATCCATGCGGTTGCCACATCTGTAAAACAGATGTTCTATATAAATGTAGTGGCACATGTAACACCAGATCAGAATAGATCACATGTTAACAGTTAACATGAGTTCTTCAATCAGAACTAGCGCCCCGAAGGGCACTGATGGACCCAAGCAGTGTTGCATCTCTCCTCTCCAAGGGAAATGTGCTCCACAGCCGCCGGCTATCTTTGTGATGGCTGGTACTTGTGACTGCCTTTGAGCCATATCGGTAAAAAAAAAACATCACAGTTTCAAAGGGTGCCATAGCCACGCCCTTTGACCTACACATGTGATTTTTTGATATAATCTCCCCTAACATCTCTCCTACAGAATGCAAGAGAAATTACATCCAAACCATAAATGGTTTGCTTCAGAGGCAGCCATTTGTAGGTGCTTGCAAAAAACCCTACTGTTGCCAAACTAAGCCTCTCAACAAAAAGTTGTACCTCAGTCTGAAAGTGGACTATTGTGGGTACCTGTGGCTGCAGTTTCAGCTTTCTATCCATAAATCCTTAGGAGGAGTTTTGAAAACACCTAAAAAAGTAGGCAAAATCTTAAAGTGCAAATTTTCAAACCAATCTGGATGACTTCCGGTTGGGTGTGGCCTATGGGTCCAAGATGCTTTTTTTGTTCATTTTGGGGTTCTAAATAATCATTCCCGGTTTTATAGTTGTGGGTCACATACATGGGCTGGGCTTAATTTTTGAAATTTGGAGTGGGCGCTATGGAGCCATATTCAGTTATATTTCCATTTTGACATTGGAACCCTCAAGAGGATGCCCCTCAAGATCTGTTTACCAAATTTCATGCTGCTGTGTATATCTATAGCAATATCAAAGAATGCTATTTCTCTGAGATATTTTATAGCGCCACCCAGTTGTACTTAAAGGACACATAGTACAGATTTTTTTGCCGCTTTGGTACCTCGACAGGTGTGTCCCGAATATATCTCAGCTGCATCCCATCAACAAAGACGAAGTCACAGGCCACTTCGCCTTTTCCACCAGGTGGCGCTACAACATATGGATGCAAGTTTGGTGTCAAATTCTCCAGTGCTAGGGATGGAAATTGATAAGATTTTATAAATATTGATGCCATTATCGATTCTGCTTATCGATTCAATTCTTTAATGATTCCCTTATCAATGCTTCTATTTGATTAAAAAAAAAAGTAGACCATAGGTTTTCAGTGTTAACTCAACATTTTATTGAGTCTCTGATAACACTGATAACAGAAAAAGATGTATGCCATCTTCAGTGAGAGTCTAAAAATAATCAAACAGAAATGCTATTTGCATACCTGCCAACATTTGGGTTATAAAATCAGAGATTTTTGTGGCGCACGCCGGGCAGTTTTGGGGTGACCTTGTATGGTGGATATGAACTCATTATGAGAGTATTTGTAATTAGATTGCTCATCAAAATAAGTATCAGTGAAGCTGCACACTTTTTTGTTTTGTTTTAACAATAACAAATGGTAATGAAAAATAATAGCTACGATATGCCTTGAACTAATTTAGTCCACTAATATTAGTGTTAAAGTCCTCACATGTTTTACATGCTCTCCCGTATGAGTCTCTCTGAACATCTCTGTGTGAAATACAGTACTCTGTTATCTGAGGCTGCCCTGAGGGCCTTACTCCTAGACGATGAAAGACCATCAACGTAAAAGTTATATCTCACGTTTGTTTCTCTTTCACTGAAGTTTTCATTTTGCAAGACACAATGCTTAAATGTAGTTCACATCTTAAACCGACCTGAATCATCTCAAATTGTAAAGTAAAAGTATCAATCCAGTGTCTGTGAGGCTCAGCAGAAACACAGGACAGTCTTCGGTTGTCTGGAAACTTTGGACAAATATAGTGATCCGATTCATGAATGAAAGTGGAGCACAGTGGCGGCTGGTGAGAAAAATAATAGGTGGGGCTGAAGTTTTGGAAACCAGAGCCCTCAAGGGGGTTCAGGGGAATCTTCCCCCAGTAGATTTTTTTTTCGTTTTCAAAAGGTAGATGAAGCATTCTGGTGCTTTCTTAATTAATAATTAAGGAAACATACGATATTGACCTACAAAGACAATTGGGGTGGGAATGCTTTAAATACAGATCAGTTTTATTAAATTTGATATTTCAGTTAAACTGAATTGAAACTGGGTGAACAAATACAGGGGTCCCACTCTTTTATAGAAATCATAATCATTTCCAGGACTTTTCCAGGATGTTTTCATCCTGCCTTACAATCTTATTTATTTCTAACATTGTGGCATGAACATTGTCTGTTAGCTCTCTTTTTTTTCGCTAACGGACTGAAATACACATTTAATGGAATGATTAATGTAATACCGCTATTTCCTTACTTTGAGAATAATTTTCAGGGAGACAGCAGACATTTCTTTTTGCTCACTCAGCTCAGGCGGGGCTCCGCCCGCAGCACCCTCTTATACCGGCCGCCACTGGTGGACTATGTAAAATATTCCCTGGGAGAATAATACCGGAGGTGGGCGGGAGATAGGTCTGAAATAGGGGAGAGTCCTCGGAAAACTGGGAATGTTGGCAGGTATGGACATATGTTAGGTTGACCATATTCTGAACCCCCAAAACACGATTACGGGGGGCGGAAATTTTGAGTGTTTTTTTGTGTCGGGTCGAGTGTTATTGTGCACTTCTAACTCAGTTAAAGGTATATTCTAAATTCCCTATGACAGTGCATGTGTGCGTGCGTCAGAGGCTTTGCTTGGAAGTGAGCGAAAAAGGGGCAGAGCAGCAGAGAGCACAGATGCTCTGCACTATTTTGTAATAAATGAATACACGTCCCTAGACAGCCCCCAAAAGAGGACATGTTCAGGTGTAATAAGACTTATGGTCACTCTAACATAAGTACCTTCAATGCCGTGCTGAGACAGAGCTGCAGCAGCTGATGACCGGCAGAGAACATCGAATACATGTGACTCCCTCTATTTGATGCCGTGCCCCGTTGACAAATGATTAAGCATGTTGCTAGTGTTTCCACCTTTGCATGTTATCACTGCCTGACAAACGTTGCACTGTTGTCGTCTTTCTTAGTAAAATTAAGCCACGCTTTACCCCGTTTCTGCCTACTTTTTGTACCGTCCGAGACCTTTTTTCAAGGCACCTGGAAGAAAGGAATTGTTAAGGGAATCATTAAGATAAAACGTAAATGATGTCCATGGATTGACCTGACCTTTGCCAAATTTGCCAAATTTGATGACTTTTTGAGCCTGTCTCAAGGGTTTTTTCAGTTGAAAAACTTAAGTTAATATTAATGCATAATTCTTACAATTTCAAAAAGGCTCTTTCCTGCTGCTTGCAGCGTCAACTAGGGCCCTGATGAAAAAATGTGTGCATGTAATCCCAACCACTGTCAGGTATCTTGGGTGTAAACCTTTGTGTGTGTGTGTGTGTGTGTGTGTGTGTGTGTGTGTGTGTGTGTGTGTGTGTGTGTGTGTGTGTGTGTGTGTCACTGACTGTCTCTCTGTGTGTGTTCTGCAGGCCTGAGCTGAAGCCCATTGAGAAAGAGACAGAGGTCACTCTGAGGTAAGACCAGTTTCCTGTTTAGACAAGAATCAGCTATTTTTAGACGTACATTTTCTTTGGGTTCTGATTCTAAAATGTATTCTGCTCTTAGAATGTAAATGTATTTACTGCTCACACTCACACACACACACACTGAGGTTTGTAACAGGCTGCAGCTCTTTAAACAGTCGCTCTCATTTGCTCTGAGTTGGCACAAATACTTGCTTAATTTCTGCTGCAGTATGTTTTTACAGGTTCAGTTAAATTAGCTGTGATTCCCCTTTACCCGGTTCCTGATAGATGAGTTTAAACTCACCATTCAACATATTACGAATGATCTTATTCTTTTTATTTTCATTCTCTCTGTGTGCATAATTTGCCGTAAAAAGGAGGCAGACAGAAACAGATGTGCACTTTCATCACGTCTTTTACCTTTACAGCAACACGAACACTACTTTAACATATGCACAGTATCAGCAGTGGGTTGAAAAGAGCAGACTGGAGAGGAGAAGTGAATATAAGGCAGTCTCTGCTACAGAAACCGGCTACTGGGGTGGTTCCTCCAGGTTCTGAAGAGAGAGGTTCTCTTTAAAGTTTAAATAGCTTTTCAGACCTTTATCAGAGCACCAAATCAGATCAGGACTCTGGGGGTACGTTTAGGTCACCAGGAGTCCTCAAGTCCTCATGAAGAGTCTGTCTGAGCTCATCCTGGATGTTTTTAAATCTGACAACTGTCAGTATGAGAGGAAGGGTATGGTTCAGTCTGTTGATGTGTTTTTTGATTAATTGATGAATGGTTGACTGAGATGTGTCTTTGTGTCTCAGGTTTCCAGATAACTTTGAGAAGCTATCTCCTCCTATCCTTCAACTGGATGAGGTGGAGTTTCATTACTCTGCAGATCAGCGGCTCTTCTCTGGACTCAACCTGTCTGCTGACCTCGAGTCTCGCATCTGCATCGTACGTATCATAATCACCATTATGAGAATCAGCCTGTCAGTAACTGTGTGCTGGTGTATGTGAAGCTGATTGACAAGAGTCACAGCTCAAAATGACATGAGCTTTGAGCTGAGGAGTTGCGACAGTCAGCAGCAGTTTAGTCTTGACTCTGTGGGTCGTACACTGATGGTCTATGTTTACTGTCAGGTCGGAGAGAACGGCGCTGGTAAATCCACCATCCTCAAGCTGCTGATGGGTGAGCTGTCGCCGGTGAACGGAGTCAGGCAGGCTCACAGGTGAGACCAATTAGTCAACCAATCAACAGCCTCCTGGATCTATTTATTCAGCCAATCACAGTCTGTTAAGTGACTGATTATGGAGGAACATTTGGGGACTTGGTACTGTTTGAAAAACAGTTTCTAGGGAACAGTTTACGCAGTGAGACATTCATTTACAGAGCAGTGTAACCTGTCAGAGAACTTTTTACAGCTGCCTCTCACTGATAATTACTGATCTGTGCCTTTGATCCCTCACCAGGAACTTAAAGATTGGTTACTTCAGTCAGCATCATGTGGATCAGCTGGACCTGAATGTCTGCTCTGTGGAGCTGCTGCTCAACAAGTTCCCTGGTAACCATGGAAACTACATCACCAACACCTTCTGGAGTAACACATGAAACAGTAACTTACAATGACAGCATGTGAAGCTCCTAGCAGGAACTTTCAGTTTGTGTAAATCATGGTGCCCCCTGTGGACGAAGCTGTCTTTGCTGAACATGTCATTTGATATAAGGGAGATCTGTCCAAGTCCTAGAAACGCTGAAGTTTGGTCTTTAGAGCGAGAATCTCATCCTTCTGACTTTAGTGAAGGAACTGTTAAGTCTGTTGTTAGGAACTTTTTGTTCTCCACTCACTGAACAGTTTTCTCAGATGAAGCCCAGCTCACCACACCGTCTTTCAGAGATTCTGATTGGCTGTTCTCTGTGTGACAGGTCGGACAGAGGAAGAGTATCGCCATCAGCTGGGAGGGTATGGCATCACCGGAGAGCTCGCTACCAGGCCAGTGGCCAGTCTGTCAGGGGGGCAGAAGAGCCGGGTGGCCTTTGCACAGATGACCATGCCATGGTATAAGCCCCGAATCCAGCTGTGTGCATTTCCATGGCAACAATGATGATGATGGTGATAATGATGCTGTTGTCAACAAAATGTTTTCCCTGTCTGTGTTTTCAGTCCAAACTTCTACATCCTGGACGAGCCGACGAACCACCTAGACATGGAGACCATTGAAGCTCTGGCTAAGGCTCTCAACAAGTTCAAGGTGAGTTTGAGTAGGTTGGGCTTAAATACACCTGACAAGGTGAGTTTTGAGTGGACTGAGCCAGATTTATTCACCTGTGATGACTCGACTTAAGACATTTACCTGCAGTAAGATCTGCACAGTGGTGTCGTATTTTCTAAAATTAGATTTGTGTTTCAGTTGCGTGTGATGTTGTGTGTTTCAGGGCGGGGTCATCTTAGTGTCACATGACGAGCGTCTGATAAGGCTGGTGTGTAAGGAGCTGTGGGTGTGCGAAGGTGGGAAAGTGTCTCGAATCGACGGTGGCTTTGACGAGTACCGAGATATTCTGCAGGAGCAGTTCAGGAAGGAGGGTTACCTGTGAGGCCCTGCCCACTACCCACTGACCACGCTCATAACTAACATAACCCGCTCCCTTCATAACGACACCTGTCCAATCAGCAGCCAATCAGCTGTCAGAGCAGAGCGAGGGACGTTTTCTTCTCTGGACTGTCTCACCTGCTGCATCAGTTGATGATCTTCTGTGAGCTGATTGTTGGTTCATGTTCACCTGGTTAGGTCATGGTGAACTCTGAGGAGGAGGAGGAGAAGGAGGAGTCATCCTGAGTGATTTGGATTTTATTTGTGGTCAAACTTTTTAAAGTTTATGGTCACTTTACACCTGGTTGAGTTTGGTTTCATAGAGTGGCATAGGTATGAGGTTTTAAGGGCTTTTAAAGGACCTGACCGCCAAACAATCGAGAAATAAAACTGTCTGATTATGAGTTCAGTGTGTTTTTTTTAATTCTGTCTGTGTTCAATCAATCAATCAATCAACTTTATTTATATAGCACATTTTAAAATAACCACAAGGGTAGTCAAAGTGCTGTACAATGATACATAAAACAAATAACACAAAGAGCAAGATAAAGTGAGCAGAAATACATTAATGCAAGGGGATAAATAAGTAAATAAATAAGCAGGCTCACGGCAGGTGCTAAAATGATAAAAAACAAAGTAACACTAAAAAGTATCAAAAGCCAAGGAGTAAAAGTGTGTTTTTAAAAGGGATTTAAAAACAGGAAATGAGGAGGCCTGTTTGATATTCAAGGGCAACTCGTTCCAGAGCTTCGGGGCAGCAGCAGCAAACGCTCTGTCCCCTCTGAGCTTCAGCCTTGTATATGGGACCGTCAGTAACAGCTGATCGGCTGATCTTAAGGGTCGGGGTGGGCAGTAAGGCTGGAGCATTTCAGAAATGTAAGGTGGAGCAAGATTGTTCAGGCTTTTAAAAACAAATATTAAAAGCTTAAAATGAATTCTGTACTGTACAGGGAGCCAGTGTAAGGATGCCAGGATGGGGGTGATGTGCTCACGCCTGCGGGTCTGGGTGAGGAGACGTGCAGCAGAGTTCTGCACAAGCTGCAGGTGGGCAAGGGAAACCTGGCTAATCCCTACATACAGAGAGTTACAGTAGTCAAGACGGGTAGTTATAAAAGCATGGATTAATTTTTCCAGGTCAGGTCTTGATAAAATGGGCTTCACCTTCGCTATTTGACGTAGCTGATAAAAACTTTTTTGTACCACCCCGCTGATCTGTTTCTCAAATTTAAAATCAGGGTCAAACTTAACTCCCAGGTTAGTGACGACGTCTTTAAGGTAGGGTGAGAGGGAGCCTAGGTCGATGTTGGGGGGGTGGCCGCCACTTGGTCCAAACAACATTACTTCAGTCTTGTTCTCATTAAGACTGAGGAAGTTAAAAGAAAGCCAGGCTTAAATGTCCTTAAGACAGTCAGTGAGTTGCTGGACTGAGTTGGAGTTGTTCTGTGCAAGTGGAAAATAGATCTGACAATCATCAGCGTAAAAATGAAAGGAGATGCCATGTTTCCTAAAAACAGAACCAAGGGGGAGTAAATAAAAGGCAAATAAAAGAGGGCCAAGGATTGAGCCTTGGGGGACCCCATGTGGGAGGGGAGCTGTTGACGACACAGAGTTGTCAAGTTTAACGCAGAAACTTCTGTCCCTTAAATAAGACCGGAACCAGTCCAGGGCAACACCCTTAATGCCCACACAGTGCTCCAGGCGAGAGATTAAAATGCTGTGGTCAACAGTGTCAAATGCAGCAGACAGATCTAGGAGCACAAGGACAACAAACTTTCCAGAGTGTTGTCATTAGAATATCGTTTGAAACCTTTAAAAGTGCTGACTCTGTGCTGTGGAGAGCTTTAAAACCAGACTGGAACAACTCTGTGATACCATTATCTTCCAAAAATGGTAACAATTGATTGTAGACCACCTTCTCTAAAATCTTGGACAGATATGGGAGATTTGAGATGGGTCTGAAACTGGCACAGAGGGATGGGTCAAGGCCAGTTTTTTTAAGTAGAGGCCGTACTACAGCATGTTTAAAATCCTTAGGTACTGTACCAGAGGAGAGGCTACTGTTAACAATATTAAGGACACTTGGTCCAATAGTAGCAAGTACCTCTTTAAACAAGCGAGGGGGGATGGCATCAGCAGGGGAACCAGAAGGCTTCATATGGCTCACTATGTCCTATAAAATAGAGAGGGACACAGATACAAATTTGGCAAAGACAGATGAGGGGTGCAGAGGGGCAGAAGGGTCATATGAAGGTTGAGAGATACAGGCTCTGGTTGACATAATTTTATCAGTGAAGAAGTGGAGGAATTTTTCACAGATTTCAGTGGAGGAATCAAAACCAAGAGACTTGGGAGCCTCAAGGACAGTGTTTATGGTTTTGAACAGAGCTCTGGGGTTGTTACTGTTAAAAGCAATTAATTCTGAGAAGTATTTATTCTTCTCGGCTTTTACAATCCTCTGATAATTCCTCAGACTATCTTTAAGGATGCCAAGAGACACGTGCAGTCTGTCATTTTTCCACCTGCGCTCCGCCCTCCTGCACTCACGCCTGGCTGCACGAGTGACGTCGTTCAACCAGGGCTCGGGTGTAGGTTTGGTGCGCCGGGTCTTCAGAGGAGCGATCGTGTCCAGTGTTTGTAGACAGGTGGAGTGAAATCTCAGTACCAGTTCCTCAGTATCCACTCACACAGGGGCTGCAGAGTCATCCTCGCAGAGACCAACGTAGGTGGAAGAGAACAGAGCAGGCGAGGAAGACTTAAACATGCGACGCGGTTTAGGTGGAGCGCGCAATTTAACCGGACACTGAGTGGGGATGTCAAATAAAATCGGCATATGGTCCGAGAAAACAGCGTCACAAATGACAAGGTTAGACACACACAGACCATGCGAGAGCACCAAGTCTAGTGTGTGCCCGAGATTATGTGTTGAACCGGACACAGACTGCACGAAGTTAAAAGAGTCAATGAGATTTAAAAAGCTCCTGGAGACCGGCTCTTCAGGGCAACAAGTGTGAATATTAAAATCACCAACAATAAGGACACGGTCGTATTTCGGCAGAATTTCGGCCAGAAATTCAGAAAAGTCACTTATAAAATCCTTATTGTACTTGGGTGGTCGATAAATGACGGCGCACAGGACAACATGAGAGCGGCCCAGTTCAAACAAGCTCATTTCAAAACTTGCAAAGGAGAATTTCAGGCTGATCTGCCGGCATTTAAAGTTGCTTTTAAAAATAACTGCTATTCCACCTCCTTTTCGACCAGACGACCGCGGGGAATTAAAATAGCAGCAATCCGGTGGACAGAGTTCAATAAAAGGGCTGGACTCACCGGTACTCAACCATGTCTCAGTTACACAGAGAAAATCCAATCCACGGGACATGAAGAAATCCTTCAGGATAAAAGTTTTGTTTGCCAGTGATCTGGCATTGACAAGGCCGAACCTGGTAGAAATCGGCACGCCCGAGGCATCGGCTGATCGTGGAGCCCGACACAGGGCCCGTAGATGGCGGGGATTCACCCCACGCCGGCGAGGACGAGGAGAGCAGGGGCCGCAGGGACGGGTTACCTCACCCGAACCGACGACAGGTACCAGCCAGGAGTCGACAGGATCCAGCGAACGTAGATGAAAAAAGAGACCAGATCCCACTCCATTTCTCCTCAGGGGAACAGCGGAAGATCGAGCCAAGAGAGCCTTAACTTTCACCAGCTGGCCGCTGCGTTTGCCACGGCGGCGACGGCGTTTACGCCGGGGAAGTGGAGCGAGGGTGCGGCGAAGGTGAGCAGGTATCCCGGGGAGTTGAAACAGTTTAAAAGTCGTGTGACCGCAGTGATCAGGATCTAATTTCACCAGATCCTTGGCAGAGGGGCGAAGATCCAGCAGGGTTTGGCGGTCGTACACAAACAGTGAGCTGACATTATTTATGACGATAGACACAAATAGCAGCACAAACACAAACAGCGCTGACAGCGAGAGACGGCAGGCCACACACACCGGCGCCATCTTGGTTCAGGTCATCATCAGTTCAGACTCCTTATCCCAACATCACTGTAGTTGGTCAGTGAGTTCCTTCTTATTCACAGGGCTCCTTAAAAACCTGAGTCTCAAAGTTCTTCAGAAAGCTGCAGCGACGTAAACAAAACTGATCTGACTTCAACTCCAGGGACAATCAGGCAGGTGTTTGTTTCAGTGAAGTCTCAGTCAAACTATTAAGGTACGCCTTTGTTCTCAAGTAACAGGAACTTTTGGGTCCAGAGATTTCTCTGTAAGGATCTCAGTGGTTCCTATGGCTCATTGTTGCCAGGGTGGCTCATGGTCAAAGGTGTTCAGGTGAGTTAATCAGCTCAGCTCTGTATTTGGCCCATTCCCAATCGGCCCCCTTCACACTCGCCCTACACACTCGCCATATTCAAGACCGTCCCAAACCATGAAGTGCAAGTGGACCGTTCAGCTCTTAAATAGCGAGTCTGAACCAGTGCACACTTATGGCAGGATTTGCTGGTAGTGCGCCGGCAAACCATGGAGAAAGAGAAAACAACATACAAATGTAAGTTCCGCATGTGTCCACCTTTGTCTCACTGACAAAAAATCACAAAAAATTTGGTTTAGAAAAATCATACGAAACTCGGAAGTCTTATTCTGAGCTGACGTTAGATTTGATTGTGCATGCACATGTCAAATAGTAAAGGAGTTCAAAGACATAAGAAGAACTTTATTAAGAATAAGAACTTTATTGATCCCCGAAGGGAAATTCAATTGTCTGTTGTCTCACGTAATATGTCTCTAAAAGTTATCTATCATTAACATAAGAGTTAGAAAGCCTGATGGCTTTTGGTACAAAAGATCTTCTAAATCTTTCTGTCCTGCAGCCAAGAAAGAGGAGCCGTCCACCACCATTTGCCCTTTGGTCTAGGCTTTCTGTGGTATACCGTATACACCGTCATCGCGATGAAATAAAGTCACGGTGGCGACACCGTTAGATTGCTGAGCTCATGGTGACGTAATTT